ACCGTGATCATAAGCGGACAAGGAATGGATTGATAATGGATTACTGACAGATAAATAGATATTATTAACAGATAAAAAATCATGACTCAAAGCCGACCGTGACGAGCGCAGAACAGCTTGAGTAACCGAAGGATAGTTATGCGGAATGGGCGTCATCAGTGTATAACGAATATCAGCAAAACATCGTCTAGTGAAGGGTTTCTGAGCCGAGCTGCTGTTCCATGATGGAGGATTCGGTCCAAAGAGAGGAAAGTCAAGCACATTGACATAGTTGATCGATTTTACTAGTGGTGATGCTGATGGTCGTTGTGGAAAACAACTTTTGCAAATTCGTTGGGCGATATCACAGAGACTCTTCGGTCTATCCAGTATCTGACAGGGTGATCGGAAAGGATTTTGGTGTGTCGAACATGTCGAGTGCGGTGAACCGCAAACACCTAATCTCTGCAATTTTGATATACATTCTCCAAACTCGAATATTCTAACACACAATCGAATCACCACGGTTATTTCTCCCTCAACAAGCTGAAAATGATTTCCAGAAATTCAATATATCACAAGGAATCATCGCCTACCTTCCATAAAAAATAGGCGATCAAAATGACTGAAAAACTCACATGAGCAATTCTATCATTATCGTCCGATCCCAGGCTTTTGTCCTTGATCGATGACGTCTCGACTCTGCCCAACTGAGGTCTTCTTGCAGAATCCCATCCTATTATCATCACCGATTCTGGATGTGACAAACAATCTAACGCCTCCAGTTGCGAATATCTCTGAGTCTGAAATAAAATTTGATCGCTATCGAATCAAAATTCCGAACATATGCTTACATCGAAATATATAATTTATTGTCATCTGAGATTAACTGCGCTCAACGCATATGATAATAAATACTAACAAAAAAGTAAAATAAAAAATAAAATTTCACATATAATGTGGAATTTTATTTGTTATTTTACTTTTTTGCAATCCAACAGATGTTAGAGCGCTATCATGTTGTATTAATGGTTATCTATATTTTTTACTCGGCAATAAACCATCTACCTATCTAAGTTGGAAGCTGAAGTTTTGGGAAAGTTAAGCGAAAAAAGTGCGAAAGATCACGTTTGATAAAAAGTAATCACAATGACTGAATTTCTTAAGGTTATTAGCACAGTGCCGGACAAAATGCAACACTC